CCACTTTAACTAGTTGTACAAGTTATAAAAATGTTATCAATAATTTTTTTAAATATAAGTATTTTTTTTTATTTTTTAGTATATTTATTTCATTTTATAGATATAAATATTTTTTTGTTTAAAAAATATTTAGAGACTTAATCTTTCAAAATATGAAAGTTTATTAGCTTTTTTAGATTTTTTCCAATTATTTTACCACATTAACCAGTTATATAGGTCATAAAAATATATCTAACATGTTTTAAAAAGTATAAGAAGTTATTTAACAAGTTTTGAAATGTCCAATAATTTATTTGTTTAAAAAATTATTCAATGACTTAATCATTTCAAATACTAAAGTTTATTAAATTTTTTTAGACTTTTCCTAAAAAATTATGATTATCTTTTAATTTTTAAGAGGTATTATTATGTATAAATTTAAAGCTCCAAACTCTCCACAACCTATCAGGTCCCACATTTTCGAGATATATTCAAAATCAAATTCTTTTAAAATTTTAAATTATATTTTATATCTTTATAATTAATTACTTAATTTATTTTATATTTTTTATTTTGATTTTCATTTTATATTTTTACCATATATACATAAATAATTGTATAATATATTTAAAATATATTTTTTTTTACAAATTATATCATTATAATCGTTTCATCAATACCTTCAAAACGAAACTAATATTGAATATTTGTGTATTTAATCATACTATTAAATATCATATATACATACGAATTAATTTGTCTTATGTTCGAATAAACTACGATTTTCATCCTTGTGGTTTTGAAATTTCGTTTTGCATTTATATGATTTGTAATTTATTGTTATTTTCGTCTGTGAGACTAAATGTATTAAAAATCTTTCATTTAAACTAGAGTATTTTAATCTTTTTTTTATTTATTAAATAACGTTTTTTATTGCTTTTCCGTTAAAAATATTGTACAGCTATTAAAGCTTACAGCCTCCCACGATCTTCCATCGAATCATTTTAATTTCAAAATTACATTTTATACTCTTAAGCTTGCTTAGATGCTGGGGAAATCCATAGATCTGAATGGAGTCCCCGAAATAACATAATTAGTTATTTGATTTACTTTATATTCCTTGTTTTTTTCATTTTATATTTTACACCATTATCATATTAACATAAATAATCATATATATACTATATTAAAAGCAGGAGTTTTATTTATTCTTTAATTTTAAAAAGATACACTCAATTAAGAATATTGTATAAGCTCTTAAAGCTTACAACCTCCCACGATCTTTAATCAAATCATTTTTAATTTCATAATTACATTTTATACCTGTATAATTATTGATTTGATTTACTTATCAATTAAGAATATTGTACAAGCTCTTAAAACTTACAACCTCCCACGATTTTTTCTCAAATCATTTTTAATATCAAAATTACATTTTATACACTTATATTAGTGATTTGATTTTATGAATATTTTTTAATATTAATAACTTTTATGAATGATGGTAGTTGTTATTTCTACTCCCACAAAGAACACATGTTGCATGTAAGAGCAGAACAACAATCACATGTTCCAACGGTATCTTATCTACCTAAATAAATGCTTACCCGGTAAGTACTTACCGTTATGAGTCAATACTATAATTTATTTTACTAGGTAAGGTTGTAGTATATCAAAACGTATTACATGCAACAATTTTTCTGGTAAGCGTTTACCCAGGTAAGAGTCATTACTCTCACTTACCGGATAAAACTCTCCATTCTTATCCTCATTCTTACCGGATAAGATTCTTGGCCCTTGCCTTGTTCATCCGGTGAGGAAAATTACCCAGTAAACGGCCCCTTAATGTCTTAAACTGCTGAAAATTTACACTAAAATAACGTTTTTTACGACATCGAAACCAAAACTATTGCTTCCATTAAAAATGCAACATTTCATAGCATTTACAACAGATTCTTCAAAATGGAGAAGATAAAGATTTTAGAACATTTATCTTGATCTTTTATTTATTCCACCAACAAGGCTAGAAGTTTGTTGAGATAGTAAATGTATTGAATATTCTATTAATAAAATTAAAAAGGGGTTGAGTTCAAACCCAAGCATGTACTACAATTCGTCAAAGCCAAGAATCTTACTCGGTAAGAACGAGGATAAAGATGGAGTCTTACCCGGTAAGTGAGAGTGACGACTCTTACCCGGATAAGCGCTTACCAAGAAAATTGTTGCATGGAATACATTTTGATGTACTACAATACAACCTTACCCAATAAAATAAATTATAGTGTTAGACTCCTAACGGTAAGCATTTAGGTAAACAACCCCTAAAAGTCATATTACTTTACGGATAAATACGGTAAGGACCAATAATCTTGACCGGTAAGAACGAGACAAAGACCAAGAATCTTACCCGCTAACTGAGGATGACAACCCTTACCGCGGTAAGCACTTACCAGGTAAATAGTTGCATATGATACTGTTTTTGTCGATCAAAATCTTAGCCAACAAGTAAATGATAATATTAAATTTCACCAATAAACGATTACCGGGTAAGTGTTTGGTAAACGGGTAAGTGTTTGGTAAACGTCCCCTTGTCTCCTCCTCCATCTTCTTCATCTCCTCCTCGTCCCTCTCCATCTCCATCTCCATCTCCATATATAACGAATCAAAGTTCGTGAATCGAATCATCATCTCTTCTTGTTCTTTAAGACATTCCGCATGATTAAGACCCCACAATTCTTGTTGCATACTAAGCTTTTCACCTTCATCAACACCACTTGATTTCATTTTGCTGCCACTAACTTCAACTTTCTCCTTTACCGTTAAATCATTTCGCAAGCAGTATTTGATACCAAAAAGATGAGATAAAAAAGAGATCGTAAATCTTTACGATCAAATAGAGGTAAAAATACCATCATTGGCATTCATCTTCTGCAATTGCTCTAAATCCCTGCAGATCTGCAATGCGAACAAGGCCAACAACAGGATTCATTTCAGACAAAGTTAGGGTTAACCAAACGAAAAAGTGCGCACAAGAGGAAGTAAGAACCAAAAAAAACATCGAATACGAAGATATCAGACAAGAAATTCGTTTCTATATTCATCAATTACATGCAAAATCATTTACAAATATACAAAGATCTGGATTCCATTTGTTGGATGAAAACACAGAGAACCAAATACCAGTTTGGAAAACCATAACAAACCAAGGACTAAAGTTTAAAATGACCAAAAATGAGAGTCTTCCATATTATTGGCTTATGAGAGTCCATATTATTGGCTTATGAGAGTGTTTGGGATTGCTTATTAACTTATTTGATTTTTTAACATATAAAAAATTATTTTTCATCATTTATAATAATATCTATGATAAAAATTTATATCAATAAGATTAATAAGGACAGAACAAAAGTTTTACAAATCAAGGTAAAGCAGGGAAGCTCAAAACTAATCAAACACACATGAAAACCTGCTTAGTCAAACCAACATGAAGACAACTAACAAATAAGAAGAGATCTATAAATAAGAAACAAAGCTGAAATGACAACATCAAGTCCACCTAGTCCATATTGAACATAGAGTAAGCTGTTAACAGCAACAGAGGTTCCACTGTTATCATCAACACTAAACCAGTCAAACTACAATGATGGCGCCAGATGTCACTCAATAGCCAAATGACGATCACAAAGGAAGTTGCCAGTGACTTCAAGGGAATCATCCCAGAGGCAATCAATTATTCAATCACCACCCACCACCATCGAAACCACCTCTACGAACACAGAATCACCATTGAAGATGAAGAAGATGCATAAAGACAATAAATGCATCGAAGGTGAACGAAATGCACAAAAACTTTGATTTCATTATCACCAATTTATACATTATAAGTTTGTTTCTAATACCCTAATCTAAATCAAAAGCCTTTAATCTAAGTAAAAAAAAAACCCTAAACTGATAGGAACAAATCCACCCAAATTGATACACTTAAAAGTAGATATCAAATCCCACTCTCTCAACCAGATCGAGTTTAAACCGGTCATGAACATCAAGATTCTGTGTATGTGATTATTAGACAATAAAAACTCGCAGAAATCGAATCACTAACCTCAAAATACAGGGAAGGTCGATCTCTGTCGAGATTCACAGCCACGGATCGAGATCGAGATCGATCTCTGGTTCGTATCTGGAGGAAGAGAAAGGTCGATCTTCGATGTTCGTATATGGAGGAAGAGAGGTGTTAACAGGAACATGGAGAAATCGATGTGTTGTTATCTGGAGAAAAGTTCTATCCAGAGGAACAGTGAGAAATCGATGTTGTTATCTAGAGAAGGGAGAAGATTGAGATCGAGATGATATCTGGAGGAAGAGGGAGAGATTGATGTTGTTACCTGGAGAAAGGAGAAAATTGAGATCGATGTTATCCGGAGGAAAGAGAAAAGGTAGAAAGGGTAAACGGTAATAAACAGTTTTTTAAAAGCCAGAACGGATTTACTTATCAAAAACTATTTATTATTGATTTGGGATCGGTATAAGCAGTTTTTTTTTTCTTATCCAAACACTAGGTATTAGTTTATCGTCGATATCAGACTGAAATAAGTCAATAAACAGATAAAATAAGCAATCCCAAACACCCCCTTATAAAATAAGGGTTTCACACACGAGTTATCGAGCGACGAGGTTGTTGAATTCCCCGTTCCCTTCGTGACTGGAAACGATTTTCCTTTTTACTGTTTTACCCCTTGGTTTAGCTATTATTTAAGAAACGGGATCTGCATCAAAAAATTTATCATTGTAAAAACAATCAACCACAAAGACAGTACTTGATTGGTTTAAGTTTGAGCTTTAAAGGTCAAAAGTGTCTGGAAGTCTCAGGTTCAAGTCCAAAAAAAATATAAATTCTCTTTCGGACTACCCGCAAAACGGGTGGTCGTCCTGGAATTAGCCAGCATAGCAAGTTGGATATTCAGGTTAATAAACAAATAAATAAACTCCAAAAAATATTAAAAAGCTTAGATAAACAAAATTTAATTAATTAAAATTAAAAAAAGTAAATAAATATAAAAGACATAAAGATATTTAAGGGATTTAAATAGTTTTAATTTCAATTTTATCCTTAATAGGATATTTGACATAATTCAAATGGTAATTAACTGAACTCCGATAAATATTTTTCGATTTTTATTTATGTATTTTCCAATGGATTATATGGTTTTGATTGTTTCTCATCTTTTCATATATTGATCGTTTTCTTGTGGTTCTATTGTGTATCCATGTAATGCGGCGGAATGTAAATAATCTATATTACCTTATAAATCAGATTTTATAGAAGTCTTAAAAACATTTTTAATGCATAAAGTACTACTTATTAATAGATGAAGTCATAAAAGTCTTGAAAATATTTTCTAATGCATAGAATACTTCTTATTGATGCATAAATTCTTAAATCCAAGTCTCCTAACCTTCATGTACAACCCAGTATATTCCCAAGACATTCTCATCAGACTTGTCATCAAAGATGACGATTCAGGCTCATCAATTTTTGGACCGACGATTCCTCTTCTCAAGACACTCTCATCGCTTACTCAAAACGACAATTCCTCATCTCAGATGGTTCATCAATTCGTCTCTCTCTATCCATCACTCAGGCTTTAATCTCAGTCCATCACTCTCCAGATAATCAATCGATTCCATCTAATTCACTATGTTTCCATCGATTTACAGTCTCTCATCCAGGTAACCACTCTCCATTGATTTTGGTTCACTCTTTTGTACCCTCTGTTTTCGGACTTCTTTTTATCGCACTCTCCTTACATTCTAATTTTTGTCCAAGTAATTAGGGTTTGATTTCCCACTTTTAGTTCTTGAACTTAAATGCAATTGAACTTTGATTTCTCACTTTTAACTCTTTAACCATTTTGGGACTCATAATCAATTTTTTTCTTAACTATAATTGCAGTTAACCTATGTGGTATCATAGGTTTGTTTTTTTATCGCAACCGATTTTTTGTATAGCAATTGGTACCACAGTTTCATCTCGATCTTTACGATTCGTTCAGGTTTCGTTGTTGCAATCGAATACCACAATTACATCTCTTTGTTATTAGCTATTTGTTTTAGTAGCAATCTGGTAATTTCCATTCCCATTCAGGTTTATTTTCCAATCGATATTTGGTTTCCATCTTCACATCATTTCTTATTTTTGTTTTCAATTGCAATCGTTTTCTGTTTGCCTCTACATTTCAATCTGAGTACCAGAATTTCATCTACGTGGTACCACATGTTTGTTTTTGGATTGCAATGAGTTTTTTTGGTGGTTATAACTTATATTGATATATATCTCATCGTTGCAGGGGTTCATCAGTTGAAAGACTTAAGACTCAAATCCTGATCCTAACTTATGTCTGAAGACGGTATTCTGCATAACTAAAAATTCCATTCTCACTGTGATTAAATTTCCTCTTTTTATTTGTTTGATTTCCATGATCTCAGCTTTATGTTTTATAACTTCATTTTGGTAAGGCTAGATTTGTAGTCAAGACATTGGAATATGAGAATATTACCACTGTGTCCGTAGTATAATGTGTGCAAATGCTTGTTTCAGCTACCTTAAGCTACAGACCTTGTTGGTCTTTACCGTAGATGTCCTACTTTACTGGGTGAACGTTCGAGGAGTGGCATTGATTATTTGTATGTTTGAACAATTGAACTTGAAATTTAAAGTGATCAATTTGTGAAACTTAGCTTATGCGAATAGAGGTTGCTAATACTTGCTCCAATAGGGTATGTCTTTCTCTCATTCTAATGTATTTTGTCATCCATTGATTCTCTAAGCCTTTTTTATGCTATATTTAATAGGTTTATGGTTAAAACTACCAGAGTTGTACACACATACATAGGGTCATTGTTATTTTTAGTAAACAGTTCAAATACCAGAAAGTAAGAATCTTCCAAATGTTCCTTTATTTTCTTCAATTTTTGCTTTAGTTTCTTTTGAATATTGATGGTTTGAATGGTGCATCGGACCAAATTGGTATCTGGTAAGATATTTTTTGAATGACAACGGGTCTAAATAGTATTAATCTTTTTGTTATTTGTTTCATGTTTTATAGTTGCAATTAACCACAACCATTTTATATATGTGCTATTTGCTATTTGTTTCAGTTGCAATCTAGTGATTCCCGTTCCTATTTAGGTTTTTCTTCCCATTAATGTTGAATTTAGCAGCTTATAAGTAAGAATTGGCATAAATGACAGATACCACCATGCTGAGAAGAAAATCATTTCAATCCATGGGAAAAGTGTTGGATATAAGCTAGAACAATTCATATTCGATGCATTTCCTTATGCACCTTCAGGCTTCAGCAACACTTTTTGAGGTCATCTCCTTATTGTCAACAAATTGTGTATTAGCAAAGTGGAAGGAAAAGTGTCACTTACCCTATTTGTTTCTTACATAGGTATTGCGTGAAGTAGGGGTGAGCATAGGCCGGTACCCGCCTTATTTGACAGGAACCGAACCGACAGTTCTTGAGATATTGGAATCAGAACCGGAATCGATTAGAGCGATTCTTGAATTTTTTGAACCGGAACCGCCGGTAACCGGTTCTGGTTCCGGGTACCCGCTTCCTAAAATACTAAAATTTTGTTATTTAAAAATAAAAAATAAAACATTGTCAAAACACTAAATAAATAAACAAGAATACAAATTATATGGAATAATTGTTACAAATATTGTTTAACGATTACAAACCATAATAGATTATAGACTAATAGGAAATATTGAAAGTTTAACGATTACATGCTATAATTGTAAATGTTCAAAGTTTAACGATTACATACTACGAATCCGATTAAACACACAATTTGAAAAAAATACGAATCATTTTATCTCGTGACTGCGATGATTCTGAATATCGTGTCAACTTCTCGTTTCAAATTCTCATGGTGAGAGGCCTCAGGCCCGAGAGTATGAGTCGATGAGGTGCAGAGACGGGACCAAAAATCTAATCTAGAGTTCTAAGTTCTTGATCTAATTTAAATTTAGTATTAAAAGAAAAATAATTATTATTTTAATTGAAAAATAATGGGTACTCGGTCCCGGAACCGGTTCCGGCGGGTAATGGTTCCGAAAATTTGAGAACCGGAACTATTCTCAATCGGTTCCGTATTTTAAGAACCAGAACCACTCATATCAGTTCCGGTTCCGAAACCGGCGGTTCCAAGGCAGTTCCGGTTCCACAAGTGGGTACCCGGTTCTGCTGCTCACCCCTAGCGTGAAGAAGAATTTTCCCTTGTAAAAAATGTGAATGGTCCAACTTGGACACTCAAAATAGTGCTTGACTTATGGTTTTGAGTCTACATACAAGTCGAGTGGTTGTAGCAAGCGGCTCCTTAACACATTCAGTTCCTTTTATATTCAACTGGTAATAAACCTTTCACAACCTGGCATTCAATTGGCTTAATCTCTTCTGTTATAGTAATATATTTGTTTTTCAAGCATATTTGAGGTTTCCCCCCTTGTGTCATATGCTGGAGAAAATCTTGAAGCAATTTATCGTGGTAGTAGGTTTCATCCACCTTGTGAAATAAGGTTTCAGCTTTTGTTTTCATTTTTTGTTTCTTTATACCTGAGAAATTGTATGAATTGACAGCAGATTTTCTACTAATATTAAGAATTGTTTGACTTAATTTTGTTTTTGTGAATCATTTTCCATTTATTTTCTCATATAATAATCTCATAAACTCTATCTAATGTTGTAGTAACCCCCCCCCCCCCCCAAAATATAAGCAGTAATTATTATTTAATCAAAACTAGTGCTCGGCACCGTGCGTTACATGGTGATCATAACAATATCAAGTAATATGCAAAAAATTGTGAACCACATCAATATCTCTATATTTCAAATTGAAAATACTAAATTTTCATAGTGCATTTGTAACCCTTCCAATATCTCAAGGCATCCCTTTTCGTTTCATATATACTTAACCGTTTTTTAGTAATTTATTTTCTCATTAATATGGAATAAGATTCAAGTCAAATTCAACCATAATTCATGATTTGAAAATATTAAATTCTAATTTGTCACATCAATATCTTATAGCATTATATACTAATTTAATTAATTTATTTATTTAACTTTTAATATCAATTTTTTTTTTTTTGTAAAAAGAGGATTAACCAAAAATCTTATGTTAGGAGGGTCAGCCAACCAAGTAAGCACCATGAGTTTAGATAATCATTCAAGGGAGTCAGCCATATGAATTGCCACAGAGACATCTCAATCTTCATTTATATATCTATCATTTAATATCAATCTTTTATATACCTATCAATATGGGATGGACAAAACTCAATTACAATTCAATATTAAAGAATACTCAATATTAGGG